CCCTGGAAAAGAAGTATCAAACATAGCCTTAGAGGAAAAATGTATTTTGAAATTAATGACGATCAAACAAGGGCTTAATTAATAATTTTCGTTCAATTGCTTAAAACTTATTTTCTTTCTATGTTAATTCCATGCTTGCAATCAAACACGCCCTAAAATGTTCCTTTTGAGTTACCATAATCAACAATTAAACACATAAATCAGTTCATTCGAGACATGGATTCTGTATCACATTTGAAACATGCTTAATAGCTTCATACATGTGTATAAGTTGCTGCTACTAGTTATCCTATCCTGTTCTGGCCATTAAACGAATTGAGTAGTAATTTGTCTGATATATCTTTTATAATGTGTGAAGCATCACATCATATGTTCCAAATGAGGCCTAACTTTTCCCTATTTTGTTTTTCGCTTCTGATTTTGCATCATCACAACCTTCTTTTCAAGCTTAACAACCTCATTGAATAACTATCATCACCAAATGACGTTCTCTGAGACCTCTCTGTCATCTTCCTAATTCCTCACCCAAAAGATTAAGGGCACAGCATCAATCTTCATTCACAATAAACTAAACGAACCAACATCATCGTGATGAAAACCATGAGGAGGAAGACAATCTGTAGAATATAGATGATTTCGACTGTCAAAGATGTATGCACAAGGAGAGAATTCAATCTTCTTACTAGCAACTGATGTTCTCTAAAAATTCTCCTCCAATCAATCTCCGAAAATATTCATTTGGGGAAATTATAATAAAGGGAAAAATATTAATGCAACCTAGTTCTTAAACATCATTTAGATATAGCAATAGGAACACTGTTATCAGCCATATTTAGCATGAAAAGTTTAACAAACAATTCAGAAGAATGATGCCCTTGCAATAGAGGACAGTTCTAGTCTTTACCATCAAGAATAAAAGCATCATTAAATTGATACGGTGCATGGCTAAGTCTGACATAAAATGTATATGTTCGTACAAACTCTTAAAACAAAAATAATGCTCAATCTTGAGTCAGGACAAAGAAATTTCAAAACTTGAGTAAGAAATGCTAATCGAAGATTCCTCCAAGCTGTGATACGAAAAATAAAAAAGAACTTGAAATTCTTCAAAACTATAAAGTCAACAAAATCTAGTTCATTCTCCTGATAAGCTCGTTGATATAATCCTCACGGTTTCCAGCATCTCCTCCTTCAACGTAGTGATTTCTCTTCTTCTTCAGACCACCCAATGGTGCCTTCAGTTGGAATGGCCAGAGGAAGTTGTTGGCCTCCTTAAAATGGGGTCCAACAGTCATGATCTCATGAATAAGATCTTCCATGCAGATAATTCCATGTTTGCCAAGAACCTGAACACAAGGTAAGCTTAAGCGAAAATGTTACACAAAATGCAACTAAATATGAGCAATAGTGTCACAATATAGACATGCCTGTTCGATGATTGAATTGTCTGTCAAAGCAATCCTCTGCTTGTTGACCTTGCCATAGCCCCTCTTGTATATCAGTTCTTTCACGCTCTTCAGGTTGGGGTATCTAAAGAGAGCAAAGGACATTGTAATCATCTGACACAGTGCATACAAAATTTTAAAAAAATTTCAAGAAGCCAGATTGATCAGATGTCTACCCATAAGTCACATAAGGCTCAACTCTGTGCAACATATTCAATGTTGCCTTGTTAACTTTTAGGAACACGCCATTAAAAATCTGCACGAAGAAATCAATTGCTGAGCATTAAAGGGTAAAAGGGTGCAAACCACAACGAAGGAACCTCATTCTGAACTAAATAATCATTATCCAGCGAAGTTTAAATTTGATAATGTGGTGAAAAAAGCAAAAGACAAATGAAAACAAATTCTGAATGAGGGAACCACCACAACCATAAATAATGTGATATCCAACTTGCATTGTATAACACAATTCAACTCACTACAAAACTACGAAAAAATAAGTGGAACTGGCTTAAGAATGGATGAATATCCAATCGATCTGATGACTACACTCTACAGGGCCAAAAACATTTATCTCATCAAGTATCCTTCATTTCCAGGTTGCCTAAGTGAAACATTCAGATCACAAACCAAAATGTTATCACAGCCATATAACATTTTTAGATGTATGATATGAAATCCCCGCATTAGAAAAGGTCAAGACATTCAGGCTAACCGAAGCAAGTTCATTGTTTCAATCAAGCTTTGCAACATAACCAGTAAAGATTACCTGAAAAAACAAAATCATTTATTCCTGCAAGGTGCATAAATCAGGAATAACAACCTGAAGTTTATCACTAAAAGTTATAACTGAAATCTAGTTGATCAATGTTAGTTTTGTCATAAATTAACAAACAATATGACTACTACATAAAAGATAACTGAAATCTAGTTGATCAATGTTAGTTTTGTCAGAAATTAACAAACAATATGACTACTACTTAATAGACTAGGGTAGTAACCTGTCGTAGACGCAGAAGTTGCAAAATCTTCTTTGTCTGTGGATGCATGGCATTGATACTGAGAGTCGAAAAAGTAAACAAAAGTAAGATACAGTGTAGTTAAATGATAAAAATGAGTAAAGTCTGCTAAAGTAACATCAGAACATACCCACGGATTCGAATGAGAAACATCAGCTTAGGCTCAGGGTTGACATAAAATCCACCTTTCAACCTCGCCTCACGCTTCAATTGAATCAGCTCCCTTTCCTACATTATAAGAGTGCACGCCACATTTAGAAACACATGTTTGTATAGAATTAACATCATGGAAGAAGACCAGCAAAAGATATTAAAAAGACACCTGTTGCTCGTACTCCTTTGTGTAGTCTTTGGCTTTGTTGTAGATCAGCTTGCGTTGATCAGCCTTCTTCTTCTTAGCAGACTCAAGCTCCAGCTTTTTCACTAATGCCCATTCCTCACTCCTCTTCTGTTTCTTCAGTACAGATTCCGGAACAATGGCCCCTCCTTTCTCCATCTTTACACTAAACATAACAAAATGCATCACCTACTCAACATAAACGCCAACACCTATACTGCTCCTTACCTTTGCAATAACCCAAATGTCCACTATACGGACAGCCAAATATCACGTAATTGTTCTCATTTGGAATTTAAAGTTGCGTATTTTAATTCCTAGTTTTTCTCTTTCTAATTTTCAAACCCTTTTTTGGTTAGAGATTAAACCAAATTCAGCATGTGATTCATTCATCTCAGATTTCGGTATTGACACTCATATCTAAGCAAATGTATTGGGGAAAATGCATTTATATAAATAATTACAAATATAGGCACCTATGCACGCACAAACACCAGCATATGCGAATCAATTGACCTTTGACTCGACCTTTGACTCAGATTTTCTTTCATTATCCTCCTCTCCTTGGTTGAGGCCGGTCAGTAATTTCCATGTTCATAATTAGTATATGATTTCAGTCGTCCATTCGAAATGCGCAGTTAGACGAGAATAGCAAAAAACCACACGCTCTCATAGCATAACAATTGCAGATTGATTGAAATGAAATTGAGATTGAAAATGAAAATCTGAGAAGTGAACTTACATTACTTCGGCTGGGGGTGATTGAAAGAACAGCTGCGTTTGACGGTGTGAGGCGTATCTGAAGCAGAACTCAGGATTTTGTAGGGTTTCCGGGACAAAACCTAATGGCATTGGCTCAATTGATTTGGGTTGGGCTAGCACCTTTGGGCCGTGGCAGTGGGACTCTTAAATGGGAGTGCTTCTTATTACCCAGTCCACTTTGTAACCGGACCAACTTCATGGGCTTAAGAAGCCCAAGAACAGATTGCACGGTTTTGGAATATTTTGAAAAATCATGGACTGATTTGAATGAGACCATTACTTAGGGACCATTTTTCAGCATCGAGAACGTATTCGGAGTAATATGCAGAAAATTGAAACGTTGGAACCAACTTGCAAATTTAGGAACTACACGAGCAGATTTGTATACTTAGAAAATGCAGAACATTCGAAGGCTAAAAACGCAGAAATCAGAACTCAATTGAGCGCCTAGGGATTGATGTACAATTTGATGTCAATAGAGTGTTTACTTAAAAAAAGAAAAAAGAAAAAAGGTTGAACCCCAACCTTGAAAGCCCCCATCGTCCAGTTCCTAGAGTTTTGTGAGGGAAGTAAATCACTGGATGTACCCCAACAGATCAAGGAACAATAGCTGTCTGTACACTGTGCTTACAAGGAATCCAATTCCATGTTTCAGGAATCGAATCCCTATACTGCGATTGTTAACAAGGCGTGAGATAACTGCATTCCTATCCTTTGTATCACTGGACTATGCTTCGAGGGGCCAATAGAGTGTTTACTTATTTAGATAAAGTGTTGGTGAAATAAGGTTTTGTTAGGACATCTCCAATCGTACATTAAATTTGTGTAAATTTGGTGAAAAATTTACATTCAATCACACATCAAATGTCTACACCAATTTAATCTGTGCTCATATGGAGAAATTTGCGGCGACATTATTTGATTGTCCTCCTATAAATTATTCTGAATTTTGTTTTGTACTCATATGGATCATTCGCAGTGGAGATTTTAAGAGTGATGAAGTGGTTGAATAATTATTAAAAACACTTTAGAGTAAAATTTACGCTAATCAAATCTAATGTAAGCCAAATCCTAGAAAATACTAGTAAAAGAAACTGAGCGGTAGTAGTGGAACACATAAATTTTTTTTTTTGTAAAAAAAGTTTTAAAAGTATGATTATTTACGTGATTTTAGTTATGGCCATACGAGTAAATAGAAAAAGGATAATTATATTATCACCACAAATTTTACTTACATACCACATTATGGTTACAACATTAGCCCCCGTTTGACCCCCATTATCTGAAAATGAAAATGGGGGGAATAGTATTTTTCAGAAAAATGAGTGGTTGAAAAAGAAGGAAAAGTTTTTTTATTTACGTGTAATATTATTTTATGGAAGATTCTGTGGTTGAAAATATGAGAGAAAAAAATGTAATGTAATGTAATTGAATTTAATGGGGATCAGACGGGGATAAAATATATTTTTAATATGGAAAAATTGTAGCAACGGTCCCAAACCTTTTCAATTTTTGCAGGCTTTATCCTAATTTTTAATTTGTACCAGTGGTGGTCCCAAACCTTTAAGAAATATGCACCTGAAGTCTAACTTGACGGAAACCGTCTATAAAACTGTCGGTTGACCAAGAAGAGTGGATTTTGACCAATTTTGACCAAGGTAAAAAGGGCAAAATGATAATTTTGCATATTATCCGTAAAAATAAGTTAAAAATTAAATTTAAAAAAAAAAACCTCTTCCAAACCAAAAAAAATCAACGGCCAACATTGACCACCGAATCTGTCGAAATTTCATCTCCTAGTTGGTGGCCTCAATCCACATACACATCCCACACAATTAATTGGACAAGCAACAACAACAAAAATCAAAAATAAAATTGAAAAGCCAAAGAGCCGCACGGCTTAACCCCTCAAACTATCACCAATGGTCACACCCAGGGTCATGCCTCACTGCCGATAGTCATGCCCAGTCTAGGCGAGCATATTCGTGATTGAACATCATCAAATCAAGGTCATATCACGATGGAACGATAATTCAGTAGTTTACTCAAATTTTAGTGGAGATTGATGAAGAAGGGAAGCCTTGACTATAGAAAGTAAAAGAGTTGTGATTGAAGTTGGGCAAGCGACAATGAGGCTATGGTCATAGCTAAGACGATGGTGCCGGCATTGGATGGTAGATGACGGGATTTGGGAAAGGGGGTGGGGTTTGTGAAGGAGATTTTTTTTTATTTCTTTTCTTATTTTCTTTGGTTTTTTATTTTACTTTATAAATTTTTTATTTATTATCTATTTTATTTAATATGATAATTTTAAAATTTGTCAAAATTGGTCAAACTCTACTTTTCTTGGTCAACTGATGATTTTGTAGACGGTTCCATCAAATTGGACTTCAGGTATATATTTTTTAAAGGTTTGGAATCTCGGCTGGCACAAATTTAAAATTAAGGTAAAGTCTATAAATATATATATATATATCGTATAATTGTGGTATACTCACAATCTCAATATTACTTCTCAATGGAGGAATGTGCGGGCTACCGCTTGGAAGAACTTCGTTTGGGTGGCTGTAGTTTTTGTTTTACGGGGTTGAGAGTTATTACGTTGACCATAATATAACCCTCCCACCATGACACTTTTTCTTCTCATCCTTATCAAATTTAATAAATAAATCAATGGAGCGCAAAAGATAGCATTCTCCAAAGTCAAATGGAAAACAGTTAAAAAAAAAAAATCATGAAATTAGTTCCTATGGTTAGCGTTCTAAACACGAGAAATTCTATTGTAGTTGGTGAGAGATTGGAACGCGCAAGTTGAAATTAATATTATTTTCTCTTTGAATTATCAAAATTTCCAATGTTTACCGTGAGGAAAAAAGATTATCTTGTTGTCGTGGCAAAGAGCAAAAATCATCGCCGACGTAAAAGCTACATACAGTTAGATGTTGTGGAAAATGAAAGAAAAAATTAGGGTAACAACAAATTTTTTTTTTTAATTAAAATCATAATTATGTAATTTTACTTAAGGTTATTTAAGTAAGTAAGAAAATATTAAAAATTGTGGTGCATTTAATAAAATTCGTAGTGGTAACATAATTAGCCATAAAAGAATATCTTAAAATTCGGTGAACCAAACAAATATGGTGCTGATAATATAATTAGCCTTATTCATTTGGTGTGATTTTGAGAATATTAAATAATTTTTATTTTGCCCTTCATTTTTATACTACAACAAATTTTAATATATATTATATTCTTTTATTATTTAATGATTTAATTTAATTTGTATTATTTTTATATGATTACTATTTTTTAAACCATTATTTTTAATTGTGGTATGAAATGTAATGGTTTTTTAATTTATTAATACATACAATATTTTAGTTAATTAAATATAACTTTAATTTAATAATTTTTGTAATAATATAACTTATAATTAAATAATTTTGAAATAAATTAATTGTTTAACATTAAAATTTAGGAAATAAAGGAAGTACTGTCCATTTGATATAATGGTTGGTGATGACTTTAAATTATAGTTCCGCTACTTGCACAGGGAAGCATTGACAGTGCTTTTGATAGGATGATGTGGCTAAATAAAAAAGTTAAAAAGCATTTAAAAAAATAAAATGAAAACTTAAAAGACGAGCATTATCGTTTGTCACCAATTTCCCCAAATACGAACTTCCGAAATTGACCGTCGTTTCGTCCACACACTAGTCTTTTTGGATCTTAAAACGAAACAATTTGAAAAGGTTCAATTGGCTGAAATGAATTTCTAGACTTGCGGACTTATCGACATCCAGTTCATAAAAAGAAAGAAATTCTTGTTGTCGAATATGATATAACCACTTCCGAGAGTCGTCACCTTGTTGAAGAAGAAATCGAAAGTTACAAAGCTAACAATACTTCTCAGATAAAAGACTTTTTACTTCAGTAACACAGAAATCATATACTGGGAATTCACAAATAAAAAACATCATGTAAGTTGGGGTCAGAAATGAAGTTAAAAGCATAGATTCAAGATATTATTCCAAATCATGACAGGTAAACTGAAAGACAACATGAACAAAATCTATACAAAATTTTCACCAAACTAAGTGAACAAAATGGGAATTACCTCAAAATGGGATTCATTATTATCATTAGACTAGAGAAACTCAAAATAGAGATTGAAGCAATTGATGTATTTTCCAGCTTTGCAAATTCAGTAAACAAAAGGTATTTCAAACTGATACAATAGAAGCTTTCTAATAACTCTTATGATGCAAATTTAGCTGCTTCTACATCAGCCAAGTCAAGTGCTTGCATACCAACGTAATGAAAGCAAAATCAATTATGTAGGCATGGTAGTTAGGAAGCTTTCAGTTGACAGTTCGATAGATTCAGTTAGGTAGTTAATGCTATTATTAGGCTCAATTGTAATGATGTGTTTTTCCTTTATATACTTAACATATGTATTCATTTTCAATTTAAGAATAAATGTTCAGAATTTCAGAATTCGATTCCTCTTTCTATTTCTTTTCTTTTGTAGAGTTTAATTCAGGCTTCTTGATGAAGCTATGGTTTTCAATTCTGGAATTTCACATGGTATCAAAGCATTTCTTTTTCATAGCCCCAGCTGAGCTTCTGCTATTTAGAGATCCATTTTTCCTTTGTACTTGGGAAGATCTCTACTACTTTTCTCAGTGAATCACACGTCTTCTTCACTACGTTCCTCAAATCAAGGTGAATTTCTTTTTCAATCCAACTGATGATCCAACAAGTCACTATTTTTTGCATCCTAGTGATAGTGCCTTGATTGTTTCTGAACTCTTTATTGGAGAGAACTACATGTCTTGGAGCCGCTCAATCTCTATAGCATGTAGTGTAAAGAACAAATTAGCCTTCATTGATGGTTCTTTACCAGTTCCAAGTCTACCTCTGGTGTT